AGAGAGAGAGAGAGAGAGAGAGAGAGAGAGAGAGAGAGAGAGAGAGAGAGAGAGAGAGACATTTCGCGTATTCCAAGAAACGAACTCGAACGAGCGCTCGATCGAGACGTGTAGGAATTTTTCCTGAAAGAAATGCATCTACAGGTCGACGTCTTCCTGTTTGGCTCTGGGCGCGATCTTTTCGCCGCTCTCAGACTCCTTTGCGCTCACGTGGACGTCCGCGACCTCGACCGGCGGCGGCGGCGCCGGTTTTATCGAGTTGTCGTCGTCGGCGACCTCGAAGCCGATCGTGGCTCCGATCTTCTGGCTCGCCTGCTTGAATGAATCCGATAGCATCACCTGGCGACACACGATTAAGCTGATTAATTCGATCAGATTTAATGAGTATTGTTCTCCCACGTATTTTCACATCACTACTTTAATCCTCGGCCATTGAATCAGTACATTCATTATTTCTTGTAAATAGACGAATATGTAAATACGCTGTGTATAAGAAATATTGTGTTAGATACGAGGTACTCTGTCGAGATTCTTGTTGCTAATTATAGAAATATTCTGTTTGGCATTTATTGGATATTATTACTGAAATGTATGTGCTAACATGAAAATTCTCTTATCCAGAAATGGAGGATGAGAAGAAATGTTAAAATGATGAAATCTTAATGAATAATGATAAATAAGCATTTTAATTATAACTATATCATAATTAAGAATTATGAAGTTATGCGAAAGATATAATTATATTGCTTTAGGTGACTACCACAATAATTATAAAATTAATAATATTTTAAGAAAGATTGTAGTGCATTCCATACTCCATACATTTTCTGTAAGTAATTAGCTAAAATTAAAAACAGAAAAAATGAATAAAATATATAATTAGAGATTTATAGAAAGCTCAAGAATGAAATGAAAAATTAAATCAATCGTATCAGATCGATACGAGTGTAACGAGTCTGCAAGTGCAGATGTCTAACTAGTCTAATTAATTAGTTTCTAACTGGACTAATCTGATTAAACTAGTTTCAATTGAAAGCTATTATAAGGAATATAATTATGTTATCACATGGATATCTGTAGCTCGTCTTAATTTGATTTGATATAATGATTAGTCTTGATTAGTCTTGATTTGATTTGTTATAATTTCTTTAACACTTTGAGTGCCAAGCTGATTTCGTCATTAAGCTCTGGGAGAGGCAAAGAGACGTGTGCGATTGTTTTTAATATATACAAAGTCAGATTACAAAATAAACTATGCAAACAAATTAATTAAATAAAGAAATATATGTAGATATATTTATATATTTAATAATAAAATTTTAGACAGAATAAGTAAAACTGTCATTCACAAACAATAGATCTTTTTGTGATTAAAACATATATAAAATTAAAAGAAAATTTAAAAAAATAACAGAAAAATTAAAAAATCAATAAATCTCTTTTTAATGTAACAAATTTAATAAATTATTTTAATACTTTATTGTTTTTTAAATGTTTTTATATAATTTATATTGTTTTTTTCTGTCTTAAATACTTAATAATCATTCTTAATGGAATAAATAAAACTGTCACCCGCAAATGAATGACGGAGATCTTGCTGAAACTTACGCGTTAGTTAAATATGAATAATATGGCAATAAATGTATTAAAATAGAATTGTTGTCGCTCACCTGCACGACATTGATGCACATGGATGTGAGCGCCAGGCCAAACACCAGGTATACTATCGAACACATCATGTATATGGGATGCTAAATCAATCAATCAATGAATCCGTTAAGTTCTGCGAATCGTGGATCTCGCAGTATTTATATAATTTCATTAACTAAGACTTTACTTCACTATTTAACGATACGAAAGGAAATAAGCTTGTGCGAAACAACGAAACGAATACATGTATACGGTGATATACAGCTTCTCGTTGAGAGAGACGCCTTACACGTCAAAAGGCTTACCATCTGAACGCCACCGTGAAAAAAAGAAACACGAGAGTAAATTAATCATTTGCAAAGATGGAAACTGTCGTGAGATTGCAAATAAAATTCGAGAGGCGAATTCAAAGAGGGGCTAAGAGCAAATCAAACGGAATTCGCGAATTCCTAACATATAGCAGTCATGGCGAATGATAAATAATTAAGAATGCCACTTAGATGAATACGCTAATCAGTTTTCTGTTAATTCCACTCAAGTAACTCTCATTAACCAATATCTCAACGTCGTACGATTTACCTCTCGACTTACATCGACCATTATTCATGTCTATCGAAGTCGATGAAGAAATAACAATATAAATTTTTATCTACAAATTTATGAAGAGTGTTATTATTAATTATTAATTATTTGGTTCGACTGAATGACATTCGACTTGAGGATAATCACCTTTGGCACGTAATCGCCGAAGCCGATAGTACTCATAGAGATGAAGACGAAGTAGAAGCTCTCGAAGAAGTTCCAAGCTTCCCACATGGAGTATAGGGTGGCTCCTATGAAGATATAAGCCAGGAGAATGACGATCGCCACCGAAATCGGTAGATTGAATTCGTCATCGACGGCGAAGGCCGATAATGCCGGCGTACCCGGCGTGTCCGGCGCGTTGGCGTCCACGTTCAGGACCGTCTGTGGCTGCTGAGTCTGCTGCTTCTGCATCTCCTCGATCTCCTCCGGATTCATCTGCGAGGGCCGCCGAAACTTCGCGAGATCGTATACGAGTTGCATGCCCTTCATAACTTCCTGCAATTTCCACAGTGGGCGAGATAAAATTATTAATTAACTGGATGGATGGATCCAGATGGATCAGTCGAGCGATCAAAAATAAGAAGTAATGCAATAAAAATGGAATGCAAAAGATATACTGAAAATATGCAATATCGTAAATTGAAGATATTGTGAAAGATTCTAGAAATTTGGAAGTTGGCCTAATTTCTTCTTTAAGCGATAATTTTTTTAAAGCGCATGGAGTATGTATCTTACCTGAACGGGCGCAGTGCGACGGACTTTACGGCAACTACCAGTGTAATACAACCTTCTCACGAATGCCCACAGGAACTTTATACCGCGCGTAAATAATTTACCGAAGTCGGCCAAAATTATAAGAAACATCGGGATGCCGAAAATGGCGTACACAATCGTGATGGCTTTTCCTGTGTCCGTAGTTGGTGAGATATGTCCATACCCTGTAATGAAAAATCACTCAATTAATTAATTAGAATATGTTATTACACCCATGTATTACTCCCAACTTCCTTTTTACGCGATATACATATATGTATCACGTATAATAAGAAATCGTGTTATTTGGGAAAAATTGCATAAAAGAATGATGCTATTTGCAAAAGTTTTCTTTTTACGTGGTTCTTTCACTCGGTATTGGTCGGTATGCATCTACTTATGTAAAAAGTGCTTGTATTTAGGCCAACCATGTGACGAAAAACTTTTTGTATGTACATACGTAGTATGTATTGCGAAAATGGGTTATGTTTTACTTCTTCAGGGTCTGCTGACAACATATGGAAACTTTAAATGAAAAGATAAAACACATATATGTAATTAACCAAACAAAACTTTATTTTATTATCACATTGTGACTTATTCGCCTATATAATCTGTCTACGGTATTACTCGTTTTTTCAACATGATAGTATGGAAGGACATGTGTCCGATTGAAAATTTTTTATTAATTAGGATAGTCTCATTAATTAGTTAGATAGGATGTTAGGATAATGCGCTGAAGATGACCCCAAAAAGGGTCGAAACGTACGTAATTTGACCACATTTGACTGTATTTGCGAATCACCTACATAATAAATTTGAGCGGTAAAACACCACGCTTGGCTCTTATTGCCAGAGAGAGAGAGAGAGAGAGAGAATTTAATTTGAATTTTTTTTATACAGTCTTTACATATCTGTGTCATTAATTAATTTGTTATTAGAAATTAAAATTAAGATCTGATGTATATGTACATGAGAGATAAAACGAGCAAGTAATAACATTTACTTCGCCAGCAATTATAATTAATTTAATTAACATAACAGTTAAGACTTTTTAATCGACCCAACTTACTATAATAATCGTCATGACACTCATGACAATACGGCCATTGGTTTCGGTCAAATTAATCGCTAAGACCATAGGTCTAAATTGATGTAACATAAAAATAATGAGAAATAAAAATTTTTCCAGAAACCGCGTTACTTAGAAAAACCGCGTAAAAAGAGAGTTAAGTGTATATTGAAACGTTTAAAATGCTGGGTTTATCTCTGACATATTTATCTTGAAATAAAAAATTAGCTCCATAGTTGCCATATTAAAGTTTATAGCATAGTATATTTTTATTTATATTACATTTAATATATTTTGTATATAATGTCTAATAAATTATATATAATAAAATAATATAATTTTATTGCATATAATATAATATATAAATAATTAATATCATACTTTATATATATAATATAATATTATTAAATATATTACTTTATTATAAAAAATATAATGGTCATATTGCGTCGTATACAAGTTTAATTGTAGGGCGCATACATAGAACGAAATCGTAAGATCATAGTTTATTTTGTTTGCGTCGGTCTCTGAATTGTCGCTGCAAAAGCGGCGCGTTTACGCACGTCGCGAGTAAAGTCTAAGTTTAGATTATTCAACGGAGCTATATAAGATGGTTATTTTCTCGTAAACTGGTTGCATTCGCATTGGCTGGGTATGATTCAGGAAATGCAATTGAACAATTCCACTTATACGAATACGATCAATATGTATAAATTTAAATTTAAATGTATTTTTTCTGCAAATTTGTCCGATCGGAAAAGTGCTCATTGTCATCATTGCATAATGCGAGTTAACGACGTCGAGCTTCCGAAGCTTTCTCGTTTACGATCCAAATTTATCACGTCTTGACGATCTCTCTAAACGATATAATATAAAGAATAGGTACTAACTATTTAAACAGAATTTAAAACAATATAAAAAATAAATAAATTGTGAATTTCTTAATTAATTATTTATCTTCTATTTTATTTTATTCATTATTTCCTATTATTAGATTTGCAACGATTTTCATTTCTTAATGTTTTACTTAGTTTTTTAACCAAATTCAATTTAAATAAATATATTTTAAACAAATGTTTCAGCTTTTTAAATCAATTTTTACCTTGTCGACATGTGCGCGTTTTTCTTGATCAGAGAGAGTGTAAACACCATCAAAATTTCAATGCATTTGTGTGTCAGAAAATCAATACGGAACGCCGTAAAACGTTTTACATCAAACGAAACTTGTTGGTGAGTTTTCCTTCACAACGCGTATTATTTGATATGTATATGTATAACGGATATAATTATTTTAATTTTGCGTTTCACTGTTGCGCTGAACAAAATACGTCACCGACATGCATTTCTCTTGACGCTTTTGCATCAAGAGATGGTGTAGGCACCATCAGAATTTCAACGTATTTATGTGTTAGAAAATCAATAAGGGACCCATAAAACGTTCTACAGCAAACGAAACTTATTCGTGAACTTTCACAACGCGTATGGTTTTATATGTATATCTGATATATATATATATATACAGGGTGTCCGAAAAATCGCTTACTCCACTTCGGGAGGTGATTCGGGACCCAAAAACAAGCAAAAAAGTTCATACAAACATAGGTCCGGAAATGAGCCGTTTCCGAGTTATAGGCACTTTTATGTTCAAAAATCGTAATTTAGAATCCGCTTGACATCCCTCTATCTTAATTATTTCTTAAATTAAAAATTTTTATTTTTAAATATCAGCTAATTCATTAAAACTTAAACGATCCATTGATGAATACAGAAAGATTAGATACAACTTAAAAGTAAGGTGTTGTTAAATAATAATTTGAAACTTATTGAAAAGCCGTGATTTACTTACTGATTTTGAATAGGCGTGAAAACAACTGATTTCAAGTAGCCGTGAAAACAACTAATTTTGAATAGCCGTGAAAACAACTGATTTCAAGTAGCCGTGAAAACAACTGATTTCTTTTAAAAATAATGTAATCGTATTTACAAATATTGAAAAATTGAAAAAAAAATAAAAAAATTAAAAATATTTAAAAATAAAAATTTTTAATTTAAGAAATAATTAAGAAAGAGGGATGCCAAGCGGATTCTAAATTGCGATTTTTGAACATAAAAGTGGCTATAACTCGGAAACGGCTTATTTCCGGACCTATGTTTGTATGAACTTTTTTGCTTGTTTTTGGGTCCCGAATTACCTCCCGAAATGGAGTAGGCGATTTTTCGGACACCCTGTATATATATATATATATATATATATATGTATATACCTATATGTAACGAATGTAATTATCTTAATTTTGCGTGCCCTTGTTACGCTGAACAAAGTACGTCGTCGATATAACGTTAATTCATCTTTTCGGAGGAACATTAAACTGTGAACAGTTGTAACACTATCTACGAACGATAGTAATTTAATAGATATTTATTTGAAGAAAAATATTTCAAAATATTTTAAATTCAAAAGAAGAAAATACGAGAAATTGTTTTAAGCTCATTTGGTTTAAAGTACGAAAAGAAACTCGGATGAATATAATAGTAAGAAGTATATTAGAAATACAGTTTTAATAATTTTTTTCTCTTTTCTTCTTTATTGGATATAATTCTTCATTTAAAATAAAAATCTTTCAGATTTATATTAATAATTTGAAGGGTACAGAGCAAAAACGATCAGTGTCAATTTCGAGAAAGCTGTAATTTTAAATTTCAAGACATCCAATATCTTAGGGAAGTATTAAAAAAAGTACTAGCAGTAAATATTGGAATGCATCATAGTGTTTGCTTATACATTGTATGTTGAACTCTGATGGTTCTGCCCCACAAGCGCATAAACTATGATCATTTTTCCCCCACATGGTACATCTTTTAGCCTTATTTCTAATGAATTATATAACTGTTCTTGATAAAAAAGACAACAGATAAGAATTATGAAAATTTTTTGAAAATGCCGTAAGATAGTATAATCAGATCAAATTCGATAAAAAGTGGACTTTAATCGTTTTTCTTTTGTATCCTGTATCCTTTAATTTTAATGTGTCTATTTCGTTTCTTTTTTTGTAAATTATATCAAAGAAATAAAGACGTATAAGATATACACGCATATAGTGCTAAAAACTGTTTCAGTTTGAAGACGCTACTTCTTCGTGAAGAAGTTTTTCTGAGAAGTTTTATACATGATACAAGGGTGAGAGTTAATAATTATCCGCTCTCTATTTCTATAATTTATTAGAACAACAGTAGAAAATATACTATTGCATCATTTTTCAACATTTCCCTTGCTTTTCAATGCTTGTTCCAGCGTTCCACAAGCTTGTATATACCATCGAAAAAAATGTTTTGGTTTGTCCCTCAGCCATGTATGCACCATTTCTTGGTCTGTGGAAAATCGACGACTTCTTAAGGAATCTTTAAGTGAACCAAACAAATAGTAATCTGAGGAAGCGAGATCTGGACTATACAGGTTTATTTTTTATTTCTACACTAGATACTGGACTGCACTAAAACTTCCCTTTTCGCTTTCGCCAAATTTCAAACATATATCTCACTTGAAGTACAGAGAGTGTACACTAGTTCAGCTATAAAAAACAAATGTTATATGTAGCGTTTGAACACTGTGGACAGCAGTATTTAGGCATGCAACAACAACCAACATGTGCAAGAAGCGGTGCATACATACATGACTGAGAGACAAACTAGAAACATTTTTTCTTCGAGGGTATATGCAAGCTTGTGGAACAAGTGCATTGAAAGGGATTATGTTGAAAAATGATGTAATTGAACGTTCTCTACTATTATTCTAATAAATTATAGAAATAGAGTGCGAGAATTATTGTCTCACCCTTGTATTTTCAAGATCAACATTATACAAAAAAAAATAAAAGGAGGCTACTAGAAGATGATCTCCCCAGGGAAATTGTTTCCACCTTAAGTCTCGTCCAAGACAATTAACGTATTCTCAGATTCTCACCGATGGTGGTGATGACAGTGAGACAGTACACGACCGCATTCAGGAAACTCCAACTTTTTTGACCGCTGTACGTATGTAACCCGGCTTCGTGAGCTGTGTGAAGCTGTTCCTCGAACTCCATCAGTTTTTTGCGCGCCATGCTCTTCCAGTCGTCCTCCCTCAAATTGTGGCTGTAATTCCACAGAGTATCTAGGAAGTCACGCTTCACGCGCTTTACACCGCATTTGTAGAATGTTTCGAAGGCACCCTCAACGAAACGAAAGATGAAGCCGCCGAGGCCGCAGTAGATCATTACGAGCAGCAATCCGGCTATGCAGCGATTACGCAGTCGCCTAATGATAGTAGTTTCACGTGGATTCTGTGCCACGAAGGTTTTAAACTCTCCGACAATATCTTTGAGAGCTCTGAAGAAGTCCAATAAAGTAATCTTCTCCGTAGCTTCTAGCTTCTCCATTATGATCTCCTCGACTTTCGGAACGGGCTCTGGTTCGTCCTCAATTTTCTCCTCTACGATATCTGGTTCGTCTTCAATCTTCTTCTCTACGATATCTGGTTCGTCCTCAATCTTTTTTACGGTATCTTCATCCTTCTTCTTAGTGCGCCAAAAGGACAACCAAGAGAACCACGATTTCTTCTTATCAGCTGTATTGGAAGACTGTATTACATTCTGAACGATGTCCTCGCACTCACTCTCGCTGTACACCAGACTGAATTTCCGTCTCCTCAAGGAACTAACTTCAACCGCGTCCTGAAACACGTTTGTGGTTTCCGGGTCCAGAATGCTACGTTCCCTTAGCAGGTACTCTCTCTGGGCCTTCGCGAAATCCTCGATCAGGCTTTCGTTACTCAGCGGGATGATCTGTTTCTTCTTCTCGATCGAGGACCTCTTCAATATCCGCTCCTCGACATATTTCTGTGGGAAACTCTCGCTTTTCTTTACCGTTTTCAGATCCTCGTCAGTGTCTTCGACCTGACTGTAAGATCTCGAGCGTGGTTTCTCAGTGTCATCCTTCGTCTGAGGCTCGTTTTCCAGTTTCTGTCGACTCGATGATCTCTTCTCTCGATTCGACCTCTCGGCGTCTTTCTTTTGTACTTCCGGATCACTGAGTCGACTCCTTCCGCTCGTCTTTTTCGTCCTAGACCTGGTCGCCTCCGGTGACTTCGTCCGCTTTTGACTCGACTCGCTCTTTTCATCCACATCGCTGGAATCCGTTGATCGACTATATCTCTCCACACGTTCCTTCGATTTCCTTTTAAATCGCCTTTCGACTTTGCGGGCTTCGACAGGTCTGCCGGTCTCGCCGCTCGTCTCTTTCGGCGTCTCTGACGTCTCTTGAACAATACTAGCCTTGAACACTACCCCTTGAACAATCTCAGGTCTGATGACGTCTCTCTTTGTGGTACCATCATCAACCCTTTTTGCTACTTCGATGACTTGCTTTACTTGCTCCGTAGGTTGCGTGCTGTTGTCGCCAATCACTGCGGCATCAGTCTCACGTGTCTTCGAACTATTTCCAGCCGCCGACTTGGCGGCAACCTCGGCGCGTACAGCGATCATGTCATCCACATTCGCGGAATTCCTCGCGTCAGTCCTGTCTTTTCTCCTGGTGGGACGCTGCTCTCCTTTCTTATCCTTGTTTTGCAGTTCTTTCAAGGGTACCTCCTGCTTCTGCTGCTGTGACAGTCTATTTTCTTTCTGTTGCTGCTCCATTTTCTCCGCATCCTCAGCCATCCTCTCCATTCTGGCGCGCCTCTCCTCATCCTCATCGTCCGAAGTGTCCATGCGCGACGCGGCACCCCTCGACGAAGGATCAGGCGTCTTCTCACGCTTCCTGGCGGCTGCCTTTCGACGTCGGTGAACCGTGTAACTGTCTTCCATCGTGTGACTCTTCGTCGTTGCCGTCACCGTTGTTGTCGTCGTTGTCGTCGTCGTTTGACGGTCTTCGGGTAGAGAGACTCGTCGAAAGGAACGCACTCGCGAAGCCGGCCCCAACGAGGCCGTGACAGAAATAAAACGGAGGCTGCTCCCACCACCACCGCTACCAAGTACCACCACCGTCGGCACGGGCGACGTTTGCCGCTACGAGCCACGGCGGCGGAACCAGATGACCGGCTTTATACTGCAGCGAATATCGAGCGGGAATGCCACGCGCAATCGAAACCGCGGTTTTGGCGTCGCGACGCCGCGCCTGCACCACCGCAACTCGTCCGATGGTACCGCTCGGAGGTTACACTGCACCACCAGAATTGGAAGACCGGGGTGGCCCTTTGACCCTGTGACCTCGTCAGAATCGAAAATTCTAATGGGATCGCTCGAAAATACACCGATTACTCAGATCATCTCACGTCAAAAATATGTCATTTTGTGTTGAGAAATTAATGAAAAATTGATTAAAAAATTAATAAAAAAATAAATATAGAAATAAAAAAATAAATAAAAATTAAAAGAAAAAAATTAAGAAATTAATTATTAACATTAGATTTAAAAAACGATGATTACATGACGTATTTAAATAATATTAATTAAATACACACACACACACACACACACACACACACACACAAGGAAAACTCTTACAAAAGAACTTATAAATTATGGAAATTGTGATTGAATAGCAAGTACGTGCATATCTGCGTAATATCTGATATTATGCAAACACTGATATACAAGGTGATGAAAAACTAAGTGCTATTTTGTGTGATGAAAGAAGGAACCAATACAAGCATTTTAAATTTAGGAACCATGGGTCGACGACGCTTCGTTACGGCACTACACGCGTTTAAAGTTTCACTGCGGTGTGGAAAAACTTTGGTACATAACTTCAGAGGTCAATAGAGGACACAAATACAAGTATTTTGAACATGGGAACCATGGGTCCCCGGTCCTTAGTTTTGGCGCTACACGCGCGTTTGAAGTTTCACTGCGGCGCTTCACCTGCATAGCGCCGAAATTAAGGGCCGGGAACCCATGGTTCCTATGTTCAAAATGCTTGTATTTGTATCCTCTATCGACCCCTGAAGATACGTACCAAAGTTTTTCCGCACCGCAGTGAAACTTTAAACGCGTGTAGCGCTGTAACGAAGTGTCGTCGACCCATGGTTCCTATACTTAAAATGCTTGTATTGGTCCCTTATTCTTTCATCACACAAATTTATGGTACTTAGTTTTTTTTATCACCCTGTATAACAGTTACATAGTTGCAATATAATAAAATGTAACATGTAATATAATGAAAATATAATGAAAATTACATACAATGTAGATTTTAGTTTTAACCTCCTAGTCATGTAAAAAATTGCAACTATATTTAACAGAAATGTAATGTAACATATTATGCGTTAATAAAAGAGAGTTATTTCACTTCGACATTAATTAAGCATAACATCCATTATATTACGTGTTGCTCCTGTATTAATTAGCAATTATGCCCGTTCTAGACTGGAGGATGAGCCGACTCTCGGCTCATCCGAGTGAGTGGTGTAGACGGGTAAAAATCTATAGTTTATGTATAGTTTATGTCACGTACACTATAGAAGGCGGATGAGCCGAGAGTCGGCTCATCCTCCAGTCTAGAACGGGCATTATATTTTGCGTTTGTTGGATACGAACGTTATATACAAAAGAGCCTATAAATTTTTGTCACGTACTTCATAGCACTGAAGTTAATTGTTTATATACAAAATATTACATAGGCTGTGTTCCTTTTGACGCTTTCAGCACTGAAAGCGTCGCTCCATCTCTATTTGATATTCAATGTGCAACGGAGATAGAATTAATGCTTACAGCGCTGAAAGCATCAAAAGAAACGCAGCCATAATAACATCTAAAAAATAAGAAGTTAACTTCACGCGTGAGAACTCATGCGGCGTTATCAAGTAACTGACGCCTCTCCTCTTCTGTCACTCTGAACCGAGCGAAAAATTCATCAAATCGCGTACTTTACACAAGTATTTCTCGAAAACGAGTATCGCAAAGGTATTGACACTTATCGCATATTATTTCTATTTTTATGGAGCATCATATACTAGTTTTTCAAAAACATTTAGAGAAAACTTTTTTTACAATTCATTACAATGTCTGTTTTACAATAGCTCGGAATAGGAATCCCATGTTAAAAGTTGAAACTTTGAAGCTCAGTATCTCGATTTTTAATATCGCAAGAGGTATACTGAAATTTATATCACGCATAAAGCACACCTAAATTAACGTATATTCATAGTTTCAAGAAAATCTAGAGAAAATCGATTTTCCGGAGAACGTCCTTAAATGGAAAATTAACAAGATAAATGCAGAATTATAATGATCTAGAATGATTAATTTATTATCTCATGTAATAGTGACTTAATTCAAATAAGATAATTAAATAAAGTCGATGAAGAAAGAATATTTTAAAACAGTCATTTTCATACACTTAAATTGATAGGCTAAAAAAGAATACTGTATTTTTCAGATAGTTTTATATTTGTATGTAAAAAATGTCAAGATAATGTTATTTTGCTGAAAATCGTTGATCTAACTCAATTCTTATGCAAATGTTTTTCGTAGAAAAAAAATGTAGAAATTAAATAGGAATGACGACGTATTCAAATAATGTCGAACTCGTAACAAGCGAGACTCTTTCGTAAAAAATAAATCGGACAATTTATGTTCAAACAGAATTCTTCGACTAAATATCGGTAGACATTTATGCGATCCTCTTGTCATCTCGTTAGCGTTTCGAGATCGACTGTAATTTATGGACCACACAAATACAATTCATAGAAGCGTGCTTTCATCTGCTACGTTCCACCAGAACAAGATTGTTTTCAATATTCCTTCAACTTGGCATTGTAGTAATGCTGCGCGACACCCATTAATAACTACCATCATAATTAAGATGGAACCATAAATGGAACGAGATAAGAGCTTGTTGTTTCGATGAAAACGCATTCTCACATTGTCTGTGTATAGTTTGAAATACATGCACGCAGAAATTGACAAAGTTATTTCGTAGAAATGGATAGAACTTAATAGATTAATTCATTCATTAATTTCCATATTATTAATTTGTAATTAAATTCTTTTTCTTTCTTATTTATTAAAGAAGAAAATATGTCATTTTTATTTATTAAAAAAATGTCATAAATAACATGATAAATAAATCCATGTACATATATACATGCATCAGCATATATATATAACGCAGTTCAAAAAAGCCAATTCGAATATTTGGCACTGCTTTCTCGCACGGATTTAATTAAAATTTGCCGGATATGAGGACGACGATTAACATACAAAACATTTGCGGACGTGATCACATTTAATTGCCGTATCAGCTTGTGTCTCGATAGTGATTCTGCGCGATATTTCCATCCGACATCAGTGACATCACAATGCGCCACGGCTGAGTAAGCGCGCTTAATTCGGTCGGGCGAGAAAACGTCGCGAGAGGATTTCTCGCGCTTTGCGTCCGTCAAGAACTCGAAAACACGATGACACGTCTGTCTACGTCTTCCTACGATCATCTTACCCGTGTTCTTTTCCATTATATAATGACAGGACTTGAAATAGTACGCGTGGGCATACACAACGTCGTTGTTCACAAAGCTACATGAATGTGCGCAGTGTTCGAATCGCCAAATTTTTTTCAACAATCGAGACAATAAGAGAAACGCATGCACGTGTATCTTATCCGTGAATGCATTTTATTATGTTTCTACAAACGTCGCAATATTTCTTATAATCGCAAGTGTCGCAACGAATTTCGAGTCGGATCTCTCGATAGAATTTATTAGATTTTTTATTTTCAACTTTAATCTCATTCGTGTATTTACGTAGCGTGTTCAATCCAAATAATCCTTTTACGCAGGTACACGCGTGTAATCGACGCGTGTATATATAAACTTTGTTTTTTATTCCATATTTTAATTTTAATTTATTTTAAATTTATTTTTTAATCACTCCTCTCTCGCTATCTCTCTTCGTGATCGCAAATCGAAATATTGACAGAATTCCAATACACGGAAATATATCGAAGATTTTGATAGATACCGACACACGCAAAACAGCGATATGTCAGCGAATAAAACATTTCTTCGAAATTCCATATCGGTTATTGACCGTGCGTAGATATCAATTTTCGCGCAGGAGAGCAGAAATTGCACAGAGCACTTGGGAAACTGGGTCATGTACGTCATGTATCACAGCAAAGCACGAATTTTTCCTACAAAATTCAGCGCGAATATGTTATTTTGTCACGTTTTATTTTGTGCGGAACGACATGTTGAACTTTCAATATGCAATAGGTAATAATCGGTAACATAGCAAATATTTACAAACTATATGTATATTTTATCGACTGTTAAATATAACTATATTTTCAGAAATAACTCAGTTCGTAATATGCTCGTTAATCGAACGTCCGAAAAAATTAATATTTTCTCAATATGGAAATCCCAATAGGATTTTGATCGAGTCATAAATAAGAGCAATAATTCCATCTTGGTTTCTATAAAATATTTCTGCGCAAGGAGAAAAGCTTTCTATTAATACAATTTCTATCGATAACATAAAGATATTATTCTCCTATACAAGGAATAAATCCGCATCATTTGCATCCAACAGATGTGCATTCAGATCGCATGCATCTGTATATCAGAAATCTGGACAATTCATATAAACCTATATGCAAGACCTGAGCTTGAAATCAGTCGCATCGCACACGCGGTATATTGATATACATATATTACACATTATAGCGCAATATATGTATCTCCCGCTGCGTTTACTTCTCTGCGGGCTTTCGGTCTTTCACTCGAGAAGAAAGCTGCTCAAGACAAATAAACTGAATCTCATCAAGCAGCACAAATAAAAATAACTTGCGCGAGCTTTACGAAAGCGGGGACGACGCGAGCTGAGATACGGTCGCAAAATGTTTTGTCAGAATCAAAGCGTTTTATCATAATAATGAAACCGCTTAAGACACTTAACTTTCTGCTCTTGATGTGTACGGGAATATGTCCCACATGAAAATTGCTCTGTTTCCAGGTACGCGTACATTATATGTATAAATAGCATCACTCCATTTTCATGCCTGCCTCTTTTCCCAAAGAAAATAAACATTCTCACGT